TGTGTTTGTTGTTAAGTTTTTGTTTTCGTTTGTATTTGTAATTGTGTTAGCGTTATATTTGCGTTTTGTTGTTTTGGTTTTGGTTGGTTGTGGTTTGGGTGGGCAATGCCGGGTTTATGATGATTACTAAACACACAGGTAATGGTCTTTAACAGAAAGGTTTTTCACAGAAGCCAGAGCAGGGCCTGGCCGGGACGGCTAGTATAATATAAAGCTCAATTCTGTATGTAGCATGTAATAAGTTTGTTTGTCGTTGACATACTTCTATGGATTTAAGTGTTAGACTATTACTGTGCTCATAGTCTAAATTTATGAGTTAAAAATTACTATTGAAAGTGTTGGAAAATAATTTTAATTTTTCAAACTGATAGTTATAATTGTCGGCATGTTCATTAAACACAATTTTTTTAAAATATCAACTTTTACAAAAATTCTAATTATGTCTGAAAATTATTTATATTTAGTCCTTTAGCACTTACTTCCCTTTGATAAATTAGGAAAACACAATTACTTCCCTTTATAAAACATTGCATTAGTGGAAAATAATTTACTTTTTATTACTTTGTTTTGGTGTTGGGAAAAAAATAATTACATAATTAGCGGGGATTGATCAAGTGCAAATGTTGTAGGTATTTTACGGATAAGCTTGGAGTATTATAATTGTTCATTTGGTTTGGTTCGGCACCTACGTTCGTTTAAGTGAGTGCAAAAGACTATGAATAAGTTGGGGTACTATAGTCAGTCGTTTATTAAGCTGAAACAGGCGATTCTGCCCCGGGCTAGACTGTGAGCAATTTGCGTTTATGTTCGCGTTTGTGTTTTCTTTGTGTTTAGGTTGGGTTTGCGTTAGTGGTTGCGTTTTGATTTGGTTTGTTTTTGTTCGTTCTTTTTTCGTTTTCGTTTGTGTTTTTTTCTTTGGGTTTGTGTTTGTATTTGTGTTTGTGGTTGGTTTTGCGTTTGGATTTGGTTTGTTTTCGTTTGCTTTTTCGTTTGTGTTTTTTTCTTTGGGTTTGTGTTTGTGGTTGGTGTTGCGTTTGGATTTGGTTTGTTTTCGTTTGCTTTTTCGTTTGTTTTTTTCGTTGTGTTCGTATTGGTGTTTGTGGTTGTGGTTGGGTTTGTTGTTAGGTTTTCGTTTGCTTTTTTTGTTTGTTTTTTCTTTGTGTTTGTATTGGTGTTTGTGGTTGGGTTTGTTGTTAGGTTTTTGTTTTCGTTTGTATTTGTAATTGTGTTAGCGTTATTTTTGCGTTTTGTTGTTTTGGTTTTGGTTGGTTGTGGTTTGAGTGGGCAGTGCCGGGTTTATGGTGATTACTAAACACATAGGTAATGGTCTTTAACAGAAAGGTTGTTCACAGAAGCCAGAGCAGGGCCTGGCCGGGACGGCCTATATATATATATATATATATATATATATATATATATATATATATATATATATATATATATATATATATATATATATATATATATATATATATATATATATATATAATCCGTGCTTCACTACAGTAAAATAAATGGCGCAAAGTTCTTACCCTTAATTCGCGTAGTGGTGTGTTTAAGCCGCATCTGCTTCGCATTGATGTGGATATTGATTAACTCTCATCGCTCCGAGCTGCGCGCAAGTAACGGCCTCCGCACTACTGTTTATATTTTTTTCGTGAACGGACGAGACTTAGAGATTAATCGATTAGCACGCAAAAATTGATTAAGATACGCACATTTGACCTAGAGAAAGAGAAGTGGATCGATGAGTGTGTGTTCACGGCAGTTTGAGAGTGGGGAAAGGGGTTATGATACTGAGAATTATGAAACTAAACTTTGGAATATTTCATATAAATAGTTATAATATTTAGTGTGTGTGTTCTTGAAAACACGCTTATTATAGTAAGAAAAGGTACCGGCAATTAATATATATAGTAGCTTTGTTTTAGTGGACAGAGTCCTAGCTAAGGGAGGGTGGGTGGGGCGGCCGCCGAGGGCGCCGGATTTAGGAGGATGCCGAATGGGGTAGGTGATTTTTAAAATATTTTTTAATGTTCAATTTGAGCTGCATTACTTAAAACAAGGTAAGAAAATGGATGGTTATTTGACTTTACGGGCTTATTTAATTGTTGTCAGCATCAGCTGTGGCACTAACATAAAAATATTTAAAGGACAGTGACTAGTAATAAGCGCTCCCGATCTTTCCTAATTAGGGGTGGGCGATGTTTTGCAGATGTAAATAACTGTATAAATGAGGGGCGCAAAGTTGATAGTTCGCTCCAAGCGAAGGGATGGGTCGCTACCTCTCTGTGGAATATGACCATAAATACTTATAAAATTCAAAAAAAATGTATACTTCAGTCATATACTGTTATTTGCATTATAAACTTGTCTTACTGTGCCAAACGTTTTTTGTTGTCCAAATACCTTTGCAAAATGATTTTATTCTCTATACTCAAAAATTATAGCATCTATATATATACTTCTCTTCTTGGATACCATAGAAAACACCAAGCTGTAAGCGCGCATAGCAGTCCCCTCTCTTCCTCTCTAGGCATATCCTACCACCCCCACCCCCACATGGTCTGGTGAGCTGTGGTTCACGCTAAATGTTCGTAGAGCCGTGTTTAGTGACGGCTATTAGGGGCAGATAATTTAGTTAACTTAGGGAAGGTAAATAAGAGGAGGCTGCTTTTACGGAGTGGAGGGTGGGTTGGGGTTGGGGAAAGGAGGGGGGTTATCGTCCTTAACGAGTTACTGATAGTGTTTTAAAGCAAATATTTTCAGTGGCAGCATTGGTACTGTCGAATTCACAAATTATGAATTACTGAAAAGCAGAAAAAAAAAGACTAGATGGCGGCGTATGATACGTCGCGGGTCGGGTCGTATATCATATTTTTCTAACTTTTTTAACTTTGGTAAATCTAGTACTTATTTGTTGATGAATGATATTGTTTGGATTAGTTATTTTATAAATTGGTTGCTACACTTTGGTTCAACTATTGGCCATGATGGGCTTTATGCTAAAAATGTCAAAATGTGCTTTTCAAAGAAAACAAAATTTTATATAAAAATCTTGTCATCTACATCAATTAAATAACATCTTCCCTTTTTTTCAGTTAAAATGAAAACAATTAAGAAAAATATTTTACATCTGTAGGTAAAATAACTTAGGTCAAATGATCTATACTACAAATATCTATGTACATTTGTCGGCGGTATATGTTTACATGATGAATGTTTAGAATTAATCTTAAGCTCTAATTGTAACTTCATTTTAAATAGTGTCACCTGTTTTTACCTTTAATTCCTACATTTCAGTGTCTATGATGGCTAAAGTGAAAGTGACATACTAATGAATGCATTAACGTTCAACAATTTCAATTTTCAACAATCTACGTCTTAAAAACTTGCATTTGTTCTAACGGCAAGACAGAGTGTATATGAACACATATTTACAGTGTTTGGCTGAAATCTAAGACAAAATCAGCTCTCACGCTTTTACTGACAATATTATAAAAACTATTCTCTCAAATAAACCTAACAGAAGAATTCTTTCTTTTACCAAATAAGATTTGTCAAGCACTTTCAAATACCGAACGATAATGTAAACAAACAATACAGTACGCAGGAAGAATGATTATAATTACGATTTTATTTCTGCACCTCTACCTGACAGGCCTGCATGGTACGCCTAATTGTAAGTACTTTAATATCATCTTTTCATTTTTGTGCCCAAGACACATATGTACGCATCAGAAGGATCCCTCCACTTTTGTCGGGTACCGGCGATTTTCCGGGCAGTCCCTAATGACAGTCCTGCCTCTGCCAGCTGCTTGCCTGCTGTGCGCCTCCACGTTTCCCTTGGTCTTCCTTACTTTTTTCCTTAATTCATTTCGTTCAGCCCAATTCCTGTGATATCATCTGGATTCATTCTTAGGACCTGCCAGATCCATCGCCATCTTCTTAAGTATTTTAATGATTCCCAAAAAAACGCAACGAATCAATGCTGGCAACAACAAAAAATATACCACATATTCACTTGAATTATTCTAATACAATTTTATTACATCATTTCCTAGTTTGATACATATTATGCCTCAAAGTGTTCTTGTGTTATTGTTTGCTAACGTCTCTTGATTATTTATAAAATTCACATACATACTTTCAAGTGAGAAAGTAAGCAAAAGATCTTTTGTGTACGTTTCTGGTATATGATATGATGGTAAATAAATATAGTATGGCATTAAACTTGCAATTAGAATCTAATTTCAAAGGGTTCAAAGGAGAAAAAATAGCTTTCGTTGTACAAACGCAAACGCGCTTTCTCTTATCAGTGGCGGAACTAGAAAAAAATGGCCCCCCCCGCAAAAAATTTTTTTAGGCCCCTATATATATATATATATATATATATATATATATATATATATATGTATATATATATGTATATATAAATATATATATATATATATATATATATATATATATATATATATATATATATATATATATATATATATATATATATATATATATATATATATATATCGGGTGCAGTGGCGTAGCGAGGTCGGGTGTCACCCCCCCCAAAGAGCCATAGAGACCCTTCCCAGGGACAAACTTTCAAATTTTCGATTTGCACCCCCCCCCCCTCAAGTTTTCGATTTGCACCCCCCCCCCCCTCAAAATTTCGATTTGCACCCCCCCTCGAGTTTTTCTCTATATATTTTGCTATTTTTTTGCCTTGGTGTCACCCCCCCTAAATGGTGTCACCCGGTGCGGTCCGCACCCCCCGCCCCCCCCCCCCCCCCCTCGCTACGCCCCTGATCGGGTGTATATTAAACAAATGAATATCAATCGGCTAGAACATTGCCTCTTCTTTGTATAACATTTGAAACAGCTACTTATTACTTACTACAAAAGTAACAACACATATGAAGGTGTTTAGATATGATTTTTTTTTTAAATGAAAGACGCATCGTGAACAAGAAAACATATCAACAGCAGTTTTAGCTTTTCTAAAATTCAAAATTCATTCTCCTGGATTTCAAATTAGCGAAATCTCTAATAACATCTTTTAAGTCCATTTGTTTGGCTATTTTGGCTTCTATGCCAAGCAAAGAGAGATTGTGCAAACGTTCTTGGCCCGTGGAGCTGCGTAAATAGTTTTTTATTATTTTAAGCTTGGAAAATGATCTTTCTGCTGTAGCCACAGTGACAGGTAGAGTAAGAAATAAAAATAATGCAGTTAAGACTTCTGAAAAGCTTGAAGAAATTGTAGAGTACTTGATGAATAATAGCTCAGCCAAATCTTTAATTGTTGATATTTTCACAAGTTCATCTTTCAGCATTGAGGCTGTCAAAACAATTTGTAAAGGAAATTCCGCTGAAAGATCTTCTTTGTATTTTAATTGAAGATTTTCGGCAGATTTTAAAATGTCTTGTTCTTGAAGTGATACTAACTGTGATGGAGCTAAGAAAGCGAACAAAGTACAAACCTCATGCATTCCCTGAAATCTCTTTTCGATTTGATTTATGACAATGTCTAACACACAATTAAATACATTAACTCTAAAGTCGTCTTCATTTCCAACACGGTGGTCACAGGATAGTTCATCAAAATGTTTTTTTACTAGTTTTTGCCTTTTCCATGGAAAAGTTGGATTGATCTTCCATTTGTTCGCTATTTGAACTGTTTCATCTTTAACTAAACTGTACTGGCTTCTGTATTCTTTTAAATGTGTCCTTGCAGTTTGTAGAGAGTCAGTTGCAGTCATGATATCTAAATTTTGTGTCTGTAACAATGTTGATGGGATATGCACTTCAGCTAATATCTTGGACAGAAGCACGCAAATAAAAACAAATTCAAAAGTGTTTATTTGGTTCTGCAGCCGTATTTCTATATAAATTATATAAAATTAATTTCTTTCGGGGGGGGGGGGGGGGGCGGTAAAAAAATTTCGGGGGGGGGGGGGGGGGCTTCGACCCCCCCCCCCCCCCGAAGAAATGCCTGGAAGAAACTCTGGTCTTTGGTGTAGCAACGAAAGTGGGTTGTGATTGGGTTAAATATTAAAGTATTAAAGCTTCAGTGTACAGTACACATATTTCCAAGCTCATGGGTGGATGAGTTGTACTGTTGTAAGGGTGAACTACTTATGGTGGGAGGGGGGTGGGGTGGAACTTAAAGTGATGTGACATAGAAAATATTTTGTATTCTTGTGAAAATAAAAATAACAAAACATGCATTGGATTTTAGTTGCAGTAAAATGTGTGGGGTGGAGGGGGTAGGGCTATAAAGCTTGATATCATTTATTGACCTCACTCATGATTCGTGCCTTTGATTAACATAATTTAATGTTAATGATCTATATTTTTAAGCTATTTACTTTTAAAATGTTCAAAGGGCTAAAATGAAAAAACAGCAAAGTTCTAGTAGCGGTGCAGCGAAAAAAAGAAAGCTAAAGAGGCAACAAGATATATATATATATATATATATATTGGTGTGTGTGTGTGTGTAAATAAATATATGTAAATAATTAAATACATATATATATATATATATATATATATATATATATATATATATATATATATATATATATATATATATATATGAGTGTGTGTGTGTTCGAGCGTGCGTGCGAACTTGCGTACAAACATGCGTGAGTGCGTGCGAGCTTGAGTCCTTGTGCTTTTGTTTGTGCGTGTGAGTGTGTGTGTATAGAGTTAAAAGAATGTAACTAGTTGTTATTCATCAACGTACAGTATGCTTAATCTTAAGTAGGCCTACTTCAATCTACAGTGGTACTACAACAATACCAAAGTAATGAAAGTAACGAAACCTGCAAGAAAGAACTAATCGCTGAGGAAGGTCGTTTTGTATTATATGGCTCAGTAAACCTTAATTTCTCTGCCAGCAACTGGAGCCACATGATCACAATACAGTATAAACATCCATCCACCGATAATACATTCATTCACGTAAGTTTAAATAGTTAATACATCTATTTTTTTTTAGTTTTAATTCTTCCAAGATAAAATAAACACATGCATTCGTTTTCATACATTATACAACATAAATTGTACTAAGGCTATAACATAATTTTCTTACATAATTTTAAGATTGACATTGCATTCAAATTTTATAAACAGCGTTCCGGTTTACACTGTGGTTGTTTTTCTTTTTTTTTATATTGTACCCTTATTTACGCTTCACGCTCGTCTGCGAAGTTTTTATTGCATTCTATTTCTAAACTACTAAATTAACAGCTTCAAAAACCTCATGCAGGTACAATACGAAATACTCGAAACAGGTTATGATAGCATTTTACATCTGTGTAGTTTGACTACTAGTTTAATTATTTCATTTATTTATGTTTATATTTCAATAAAAATAGTTATGTTCAGTCGACACAAGCGTAACAGATCCATCTGGTAGCTGCAATTGTTACGATTGTTCAAGTGATTTTAAGCAGTTCATGATAAACCACACAGCGAAACTACAGTTCAGTGAAGCTGAGATAAGAGCTGCTATGTACTCAACAAATAACGAGATTATTTACAGCCCAACGCGTAAACTGCCTCTAATAACTAGTACGTTACTTTCATTTTATAATTAAACGTTTTTTCCTATATTCGTTTACGTTGTGCTACAAAACTTTGTGTTTATATTGAATTCCAAGAAATAACTTACACTTTATTATAAAATACTAGACAGTAGTACAACGATACATTTAGTTTACTATAAAGGTTTAAACTTTCCAGCATATGCTTTATATTATTTTTATTTTGCATGTTGCTATTCGCCTCGAAAACTTATATTTTTTTTAATGGAAAATCATGGTATTTCGTTTTGCATTTTATATGTTTCACGCTTTAGAAAGTGTTCAGAGTAGAATTCGAATTCGACGTATACTGCTGGATCATATTTGCTAGGACATACCGCTAGATGCGATTAGATTTAGCTCAACAACGACTATTTAACCGCTAGTCTGTTGTGATAAACAACTGAGTGATAAGTCTACGTGATCTTGGCCTCGAACCGTTGGCAACGTAACGTCGGTCTGAACAACTTGCAGATTCGTCATTCTTGTTACAAACCCTTTTGGACCTCTACTATGCATAGGAACTTGTTGTGAGCTACCGTTATGGTGTGTGAGATATTGTGGTTAACTTGACTACAAGAGAAACACCTATACGACGTATTGTACCAGGATTAGGAGATCGGTTTTGTGTGTGGACTGTATTTTCTTTAACCAAGATAAGTACCTTCCTCTAATTTTGTATGAGTAACTGAGATTTGTTTTGTCCTGTGCTTTGCTTAAGTCCTTGATATTTATTACTTTTTTAAAAAAAATATCACCAGCATTACAATATGCCTCCATTAAACGAAATACTAACTAGAACGAAGCCTGAACAAGCCTTAGAAAACAGTGGTGTTTCATTGCAAAAGAAGAAAATCAATGCAAAGCAAGACAAAGTTGTTGATGCAGATAAATCATTTGAGTTAGTCCAGAAAAGACTTTTAGAGAATGCAGTTTAGTAAATACTATACCAAATGTTCTTAGCAGAATACAGAGTTAAAGTAGAAGCCAAAAGAAAAAAAAAATCGCTCAAGGTAGATCTAAGTTAGATAGGAAATTAGAAGAATCTGAACTTTGTATAGACGAGGTTAGAAAAGAAAGAGAAAAAGAAACTGAACTTCGTTAGCCATAGTAAGAAAAAATTCTGAACATGAACTAAGTGAAATGAGACAACAGGAAGAAATAGAGCGAAACGAAAGAGAAGCAGAATTACGTCAACATCGAGCAGATATAGAGGAGGAGATACGCCAATCTATCTATATAAACACAAATTTGTTTATATGTTTGTATACTTATTTGTTTTGTTTTTTTTGTTGTTTGTCTGTTTGGTTACAGGGGAGAATCTGTACTATGTGTAGAACTGTAAAATACGTATTTAGGTAGAGAACAATGTAGATTTTGACCAAACTGTTAATCACAAATTTATTTAAAGACGTTAATTAATGTATTTATATATTCATTGGTAGACTAACCACTTTAATTATTAATGTTCAGAACAATAACTTTACTTATAGTGACGTCACATGATTTATTTACTTTTTATAACAATAACTAGGCATGCTGCCCAGCTTCGCTTAGGCTTTCAAAAACATTGAGAATTTGAATGCTTAATTAATTCGCCCGAGGGTCGGTCTACGACCTCAGGAGTTATGAAGAGGTTACTACGTGGACACATTTTTTTCGATTTATAGCTCATATAAGCCGCCGGTCAGTCGAGGTCTGTTTTGACCCCTCATCGTAGACCTTTAGGCCAACTGGCACCGGCCCCCGTGTTCTGTCGCCCCAAGGCAAAATCCTGCCTAATTTAAAAGCGCCTGCGGCGCCGGGAAGTGCCAGATGTCGGGCACCCGACAACTTTGCTTCATATATTATAGAGATTAGCAAATTGCATAGATAAACAAAGATTTCCAAAGTAGTTCCTTTCCTTATAGTCTAAAATAGGAAGATTCACATATTAAAAAAAAAATTAGGTTTGACTTAAAAAATAACTTACACGAGTATGCCTTTTTTTTCAAATTATTTTTTTTACCCGAAATTAGCCAGTTTCATTGCTAAACAAACAAAGATTTCTATTAAATATTTAAGTCCTGAAAAAGTTTTTTATAGAAATTTATTTTTGGAATAGATTCTACAGTAGATAGAGTCTAAATCTAGATCTAGAATAGATCTTAGAGACGTAGCGTAGATTTAGATCTAGTCTAGATCTAGAATCTCTAGATCTAGAATCCAAATAGATAAAATATTTTTTTTTTAAGTTTAGGCCGAGAATATCGTATTGTGTAGTCTACATTTCATAGCGTACATAGCTCTAAATCATATTTGAATGAAATAGTTCATTTTTTAAAATTCTAAACTCGGAAGATGACGTCATCAGTTTTGTGCTCTTTTTTTATTTAGTGTAAACAATAAGCGACGTCATTGTTAAATGCGTTCGTGTCCCAAGTTTATACACTTTTCCGGTTGCATAAATAATACTGTTTCTCTACATTCGAATACGCCTTTATTTTTTATTTTTCTTCTTTGAATAAAATTGTGGTTATACATTTAAAACATCTAACATATTATTTTCAACAAAAGTCCGTATAAAGGTATCCATATATCGCTGCCGATTCTGACGTGATGTCCGGCGAAAATATTTTGTGGACAGAGAGAGAGAAGAGCGCACGTGGCCTTTTATATATTAGGATGGCGTCTTCAATCGAATATTTTGTTGCCCATTCAAAAATTTAACGCATTATAAATCTAATTTTCTGTCGGCTATAGCTTTAACGATACGTCCGTTTGCTATTTTTATTATTTTCCTCTATTATCAATTTTCAACAATTCTTCTAATTTGTGTAAACAAATAGATCAGCTATCGGACGAAGAGAACGTCAACCCTATATCTAAAATTTAGAATCTAGGTCAAATCAAATGTACTTAGTTAAAAATAAAAACCATTATAAAATCACAATAAATTATTGAGTTTCTTTATAAAACTATGTTAGTTTTTAAATATTTAATATACATCTTTGCTTTTTAGCTTTAAGGATTATCTAAATTCGGGAATATATGGGATATTTCTATCTAGATTCTAGATACATAGCTAGAGTTACGGAAAAAACTAGACTTAAGACTAAAGATCTAGATCTAGCTAGATTCTATATCTAGATCTAGAATTAGTAGAATCTATGCCGAAAATCATTTTCAATACA